ATACGGGGGGCGAAAACGAATCACTTTTCTGTCAAGCGCGAACCAGCTCGTGATTGGCCGATTGGAAATGCGTAAGATAGAGATAGAGATAGAAATAAAGATAAAAGAGTAAGAAGTCAGTTGTCTCCTCTTCCTCTTAGCAACAAACTAACAACCAAAGTCTTCACCGGGGTGATTCTCCCTGGTGAAGCAAACGAACTCTCTACGGTGCTCCCTAGTGATCACTCATACGCTCCGGTGTGTTGGACTGGTGGAGGTGCGAGGTCAGAAACTGTATTTGTTTGCGAAGTGGGAGAAGCGATAGAAACTGAAAACAAAATAAAAATCTCTCGGGTGAGTTTGCTTTTGTCATAGTGCGAGGTGTCGTTTCAACTCATCACCCTGGAATAGCATCCCTGCATGTGTGGACACAATCATTGGCACTGTTTGGCACCCATGGTCACACATTTTCAGTTACTGGCAACACTGTACTATCTCTGCACCTACACGGTAAAAAAGTACCCAAAAGTAAGTTCTTTTCACTCATCTCAGCACTATAGTGCAGGAACCCAAAAGTACACTGAGGCAAAAGAACGTAAGAATTCCATAAGAACCACTTATTAATTTTAACCACAAGAAAGCGGTATGAATTTCAAAGATTTGCCTTATGAAAAATAATGTCGACAAACAAATAATAAAACTGAACAGACTGGAACCGAACCATTGACGTTGAGGTTACGAGTCCTGTGTCTGAACCACTCATCTGTCAACGCTTGGGAAATGGAATGGCTGATGGCGTAGAAGAACTACATCATGTTAGACGGCAATCTTCCATAAGTCGTGCTTATAAAGTTCTTGTTTCCTTGAACCCTGTTGAGTAAAGTTGAATTCCGTTGTTTGTTGATCTCGAGGCTCTCTGCAACATCCAATTTCCATGGTGTAGTTACGGTTCGTAAAATCGTGATGTCCTCCGTCTATAGTTGGTGGTCCTTTGTGAAGATGTGTTCTGCAACCTTTGATTTGAAATCATGTTAGGCCTTTTTCCTCTTGCTTATTGGCCTAACATATGATTTCAAATCAAAGGTTACAGAACACATCTTCTTAGAGAACCACCAACTATCGACGGAGGACAACACGATTTTACGAACCGTAAACCTTCAACTTTACTCAACAGGGATCAAGGAAACGGACACACATGGCTTTTCAAGTTACTACCTAGGACACATCAACGAGTAAGCAGCGGAGTACCTGTTCCTACAGGGAATTAAATTTGAGTTTTTTGGTTTACGGTTTAGCGACTTGCAGTCAATTTAATGTTTGCAATCGCTTCAATTAATTTAAAGAAGCAATTTTGGTTTGCCATATATACACTGTCACAGTTCGTCTTGCTGATATGTTAAACTAACTACTTGCGCCTTGCTTAACTTACAATAATTCAATGCATGTATTGCATTAACGACTGAAAATGACAACTGCAGCTTTGCACAGTTTCAAATACGTCCCAGTCACAGACGTTGAGACACAGTGGTAGGGAGCGCTTTCTCGCAGGCAAGTACAAAGATTATCATTTAGAGACCAAAGGATTGCTGTCTTTGAAATTTTCAGATGATCGGAGGCGTTATACAATTCAGCCTGCACCCGTTACCGAGGAAACCGCTGCGCCCCCGTCGTCTTCAAATCAAAGACCTACTAGCGATGAAATGCAAGGAGGGTTGATGCTCTGCGATAGGGGGTGCCTGCCTGCCCCAAGACAAGTATTTGAATGATATTGTTGAATTTTCAGATACTGGTGCCGATTTTCAACAGTCAGCCCTGGATGATCCAACGACCCATCAGGAATCACTATCCTGTGATGATGCGGAACGATGGAAACAGGCCATGAAGGAGGAGTATGAGGCCCTCTAAACGGTAGCGGTAACATCGACCGATACAAGGCGAGACTGGTCGAGAAAGGATACTCGCAACGAAAGGGAGTGGATTACGAGGACACCTACGCCCAGGTTGTCCGTCATAGTTCCTTGCGGTATCTGTTTGCCTTGGCGGCACGATGGAATTTGCAGATAGACCAAATGGATGCTATCACAGCTTTCCTCCAAGGTGAGCTTTCGGAGGAAATATACATGGAGCAACCCCCTTGCTTCGTGGATGGGCAGAATCAAGCCAGCGTATGCCGTCTCAATAAGTCCCTATACGGTCTGAAACAATCTAGCCGGGTCTGGAATATGAAGCTGGATGCCGCACTTCGCAAATTTGGACTCGAGTGCACCGTGTATGACCCTTGCGTATACTACAATATCGTCGGAGATAAAGTGCTCTTCGTGGCGGTGTACGTAGACGACGTTCTCATCTTCACAAACTGCAAGCGCTGTTAGAAAGAGATGAAAACACAATTGAGCCAGGAGTTCAATATGAAGGACATGGGTCCGACCAAACACGCTTTGGGAATCTGAATCACAAAGACCGACGCGATGGTTGCCCTGGACCAAGAGTCGTACGTGAAGGCGGTATTAAGCAGATACAACATAACGAACTGCAAATCGGTGAGCGCACCGATGAACGCGAGCGAGAAGTTGACGAAGAACATGTGCCCGTCAACTGCGGAGGAGACTGAAGCAATGAAGGATGTACCGTACCGAGAAGCTGTCGGATGCCTCATGTACTTGGCCCAAAGTATACGCCCCGACATATGTTACGCAGTGAACGTTTTGAGCCGTTTCAATTCCAACCCAGGAGAAAGGCAATGGAACGCGGTGAAACACTTATTGCGTTATTTGAGAGGCACATCGCAATGTCGTTTGGCGTACCGCAAAAATGAAAATCAACCTCTGGGTACGTGTTCACCGCTCAAGGAGGAGCAATATCATGGAGCTGCAAACGGCATCAAACCGTTGCTCTTTCAACTTGCGAAGCCGAGTACATGGCGCTGTCGGTTGCAGTACAGGAGGCGCTCTGGTGGAAACGATTGCAAGGCTTCTTCGAGGACGAAAAGCAGATCTTGATCGACTGCGACAACCAAAGTGCCATAGCTGTAGCCAAGAACGGAGGATACCACCCGAGGACAAAACATATTGACATACGTTACCATTTCATTCACGATGCTTTGGAAAGAGGAGATCTGGATCAACAATAGAAAAGGGCCCATCAAAATTTGTAAACAAACCGTTCCAAAGCTCTTTACTCACAAAGCAAAGGCCACCCACGCAAACCAACACCATCATCGGATAGGGGAAACTTCCACCTACACGATGATGGTGTTGGTTTGTGTGGGCGGCCTTCGATTTGTGAGGAATGGGCTTTGGAACGGTTTGTTTACAAATTCTGATGGGCCCTTTTCTATTGTTGATCCAGAGATATCAACGTGGCGTATGTTAGTACAAAGGAGCAGACTTCTGATGGCCTTACGAAGCCGTTACCAGCTGCTTGATTGCATGCCGTGAAGAGATGGGAATTCAAACACCAATGGGTTGAGAAGGAGTGATGAAATAAATCGAAGCAACCCATGACTGTCTGTTACTACGAAGGGAAAATAAATTCTTTCACTTGTGATATAACCTTTGAAGATAACACACGCGTTTTACTTTTACTCTGCTGTCCATTATTATGCTTGTTGTAAAATTATTGTTTCAGTCTTCCTTCTTACCATAGGCCATTGCTCGAACTTTTCTTCGTATCATCATCTTTTGCACGAGCTCTGTTTCCACTTGTTTGGCTGCCAAATTCCATTTCCGCTTGAAATCCTTCAGGTCAATTGCAGTTCCACCCTTTTTCTTCAGTATGTGCTTCACAATTGACCAGTATTTCTATATTGGCCTTAGTTCTGGAGTATTGGCCGGATTCATCTCGTTGGGAACCTTTGAGATGCCATTTTCGCTGTACCACTGGTTGGTGAAATTTGAGTAGTGGCAGCTTGCCAAGTCCGGCCAGAATAGATGATCAACCTCATGCTGCTCCAGAAAAGGCAGTAGCCTCCATTTCCGTAGGCACTCCTACGGGTAAATTTTCTTTTTGATTTTACATTCCTCCGGGGCACTCTTAAGCTGGGTTTAGATTAGGCAAGTCAAATGATCAACTCAGTTGAATTCAATTGGCTTGAAAAGTTGAGCCTGGTTCAACTTTTTTCAATTCAAGTGAGTTGATCAAGTCAGTTGAATGGCATGGTTTACACGTTCAATTCGCGTTCAAGTCAGTTGAATTGAAAAAAGTTGAACCAGGCTCACTCTGAGTGAACGCTCTCGAATCATAAGATCGCTTATTGTGACGCTCTGAAAGCAAAATTGACATGTTTTATGAGTCAAACACATACTTTAAACCCTCGTCTCGTTACTTACAAGTACAGCATATCATTATTATCATCTAATGATTGCATAATTCCGAAAACTATGTATTTTTATAGCAAGTGAGTGGAAGCAACCCTGTTTAAGGGTTCATAGTATCATGAAGCTAGCGGCGCCGGTGGTGTAATGGTAAGTGTGATTACCTCTCACCCCAGCAGGGCTTGATTCAATCCCAGTCGGCGCCGCCGGGATGTTCTGAGGCATACCATCTCTGATCACGCCTTCCTTCGAGAGAGAAGTAAAGCTGTTGGTCCCCGGCTCATGAGTTGATGGGTCGATAAGGTGGTAAGGTCCAGATGTGGGAACTGTGCCTCCCTGGCGATGGTAGCATTGTGGTATTCAGCACGGAAAACAAGATTGACGAAAAACAAATCAAGGAAAAAATATATATCATGACAAAATGATATTATTTTGTATTTTCTGTAGGGTTACGGAATCGCTGGTCGCGCTGAACAGGGTCGAACTAAGTTCATGAGAATTAGATTTACTCGATCACGTTTACGGGAACTAAATCATTAATTAAAATGAACTAGCAGTTCAGCTTATCGTGATTTTTTGGTCACAAATCCCGGAACGGTGTTTTTTTGCGTGTATGATTTCCTTCAAATTCCAGAATTGAAATGCGCCTCTATGAATATAACATTTTATTACAAGCTTTGGTTTTGTTTCCTGGGTGTATAAGCATCGTAAAAATTGTGGCGTATTTATTTTTCATTGTTTTAATCTTGTAGTTACTGTCATTATACACACACATAATTAAGAGTACTGCCAAATGTTTAATATTTTCCTAACCACTTGTTTTATTTTTCTTGTAAAATGAAAAAAAAAATCAACCTTTTGGTTCCACTCATTTTGTTATGCCATTCAAAAAGCTTACAGCTCAGCTGATTTCGCCAGTTATATAAAACCACTCATCAATAAATTCGACTTCATTCTTATTAAAATAAAACTTATCAAACATTTCATTAACATCCAAAACACCTATAAGAGTACGTGTCAAAAAGTGCGCTCATTCTGTCAACAGTTTATCGCTAAATTTAATTCGTCCTCCTTCTATATCCTCACTTCAGGCAAACTTGTATCGTCGTTTCGGTTCATAATTTAGCCACTTTGGATTCGATCCCTATTGATTAGGTGTACATTTTGTTCATTTATTGATTTCGTTTGTATTTAGAATCACCCTCCTACGCAATTCCATTCGAGGAAGAAGACCGTTATTTATTTCTTTTTAAAAGTCGGTCGGATTTCAGTGCTTGAAAATCGTTCACTGGATTGCACACGAATGTCGTTTCAGGTAGTACCGGGCCGAGAGCGTCCTGTTCTGGTTCGGCGTGGTGTAGCTGGGGAGGGATTTCCTCCGGCGCCGCACAGCCGGACTGAGGTTGTACTCGATGTTGGCCTGCCGGAGCAGTTGCTTGAAGACGGTCAGTATGCCGTCGTTGTTTTTGGCCGAACACTCGGCATATCCACAACTCCACTCGAGTGTCGCTTTGGCTTGGGCTATTTTCAGCGGAATCTTCCGGACTTCTTCCGGGACGTCGGCCTTGTTACCGACGATCACTATGGGAACGCGCTTACCACGGACTTCGACGATCTGAAGATGAAAGAGAGAGAGGACGGAATATTGATTACCGGTTACAATTTGATAACCCTATGTACGGTCTTGTCATCGTCTTTCGATAAATTTAGCATTTACCTGATTCTTCAGCCGCTCCACCTCATGCCACGTTTCTTCGTCATCCACGGCGTAGACCAAAATAAACGCACCACTCGTGTTGATGGACAGGGCCCTCATCGCCGGAAATTGATACGAACCGGATGTATCGAGGATGTCTAGTGTCAGGCAGGATCCATCCGGAAGTTCGTACTCGCCCCGGTGCATATCCTCGACGGTTTGCTTGTACCGGGAAAGATACTTTTCGTACAGAAATTGCGAAATGATAGACGATTTGCCGACGCGTGCCGCACCCATCATTGCGACCCGGTGGCGTTCCTTTTTCGGTGCAATCGGTTCGCAATCGTTCGATCCCCGGGAGGACCGACTGCTGACAAGCGACGGGATGCGGAGCCTGTGACAGGTTCCGGGCATTGTGTCCGTGAGAGCAATCTTTGCGGATTTTATTTGCTCGATTTGTTGAACGAGATTTCAGATGAAACAAGATTCACAGCAGCACTGGAGTGGATTCCTTCTGTCGCGCTATCCTGTGGGTGGAGAAAGGAGAGCAAGGAAAACAGACATCAGTTGGTGAAGAACCACAGCTCGGTCTAAAAATAAGCTGGTTCTCTGGTTGCAGGTAAAGGATCTTCACGGAAAACAATTGAATTGAGGAGAGAGCAGACGATTTTACGACTAGGTAGGTACTACTGCTGATGTCTTTGATTTGACAAAGGGGATATCGCTGGAAAGTATGTTAACACGGGATTGGTATTTTATTCCTGGATGGGTGAATTAATATGATTATTTCAAAGACAATGGCATTCAAATTTGATCTTGACAGACCTAAGGAATCTCTGCAGGAGGGAATAGCTTTGATTGATATTCGCCTGTAGTACACTGCTTTTCCCGTCAGCCATATTATTTGTTGGATCATAAACACGCCCCTAGGAGCTTCCTCAACGGTGACACACACACGGAAGAAGTGTTGGTTTGTTTACTAAAATGAACTGTGCCCATTTTGTTATCGCCAGTTTTGCTATAGGAAATGCTCCTCGTGTTAATTAGCGAAATTCACACGAAAGGTTGATTAATTGGGTAGGAAATCAGTTTGGTACGGCATTTGTGACCAACATACACCTTACGGTCGTATGAAACAAGTCAAAAACTGTCCAAATCCGCCCATATTTTTGTTTTGTTTTGAATTTCTGTATGGCCAAATGGGCAAAATAGTGTACTTTTCGTGAACATTAACGGCAAAGAACTCACCAATACTGGGAGACCGTGAGCTCCTGCCCGAGATGGTTTTTATATAGGGTTACCATATCAAAAACTTGAAAAGGAGGACATTTCATTTGAGGTTTGGAGATTAAGGAGGACAATGATTCCTTTTCTTAACAATAAAGTTTAACATTGAGTTTTTATCAAACGTTTTAATAATATGTGCACTATCACAAAATTCATGATTTGCAAAGGTTCAATTGCGATTGTCATAACTTATAGTCGTTACCAATTCAATTCATCTTCTCGATGTAATTCTGAAAAAAGCATCAAACTAGCCTTCATAATTCTAGTGATCTAGTCTAGCTGATTTGCATGAAAACTACAGCTTTACAACCTTAAAACCATCCCAACTCATATCATGTACATACATTAGGATACATGTCATCGCTGATTGAAACCAACATGGAACATCTAAGCAACATGTTAATTTTACCGTTGATTCAGCATAGGATTCCAAGGCCGCTGCCATAGTGGGAGCGAAGAGGCGTGCTTAGCGTTCTATACACTCAAAAAATTTTACACGTCATCATCATGTGACTCACACTTAATTTTGCGCTTATTGTGAAACAAATCCATTTCATGTGTGAATCTTATGCTATGAATCATGCTTGAACACTATGGATTTGAATTGTGACACACTTGGATTCTATGTGTCTCATATGGTGATATCAATAGTTTTGCACATCATAGTTCAATATTCTACTTTATCGACTTCTACTTTGCTGACTCTAAAAATGAATCGACACATATATAAACAAAACTGCCAGAGGTCAGAGCTTTCACATATCATTTTAATGGGTCTGATTTGGGATTCGATCATGAACTGTTGAGGTGTGCTGCTGCCGGAGTCTTCGTTCGATCTCACTGTGCCATGGTTGTTCTCATATATGAGGCGGGTTAATAGGATAAAGTAACAACTCTTGTTTTCGATGTTTACCTTTCTGAGCAAGCAATTCACATCACATTGAAATGCAAAACACTTTAAATCAATCTGTTTTGAACAGTAGTGTGGTTCAATGTGGAATACACTTGAATAGATAGTGAAAGATTTTCAACATTTCAAAGTTTGAAACACTAGAAATTAACGTGTATTACACATTGAACCAAGGTGAAATACACTTAAAGTAAATGTGATTGTACATTTAAAAAATCAAGTGTTTAAACACTTCGATCAAACGCGTGGAATTTTTTGAGTGCACAAAAGAATTCCTATTAGGGTAGAGAACTACTTCGACCTAATCGCCCATTTTGGGCCTATCGAGCAGCAAACTTCAAATAAATCCCTGATTTCAGAGTTAACAAGTCAATTATGCGTTTGGTACGATACTTCAGTTAATAAGCTACAGAACGAAGTCAATGAGAACGCGTGATATGAAGGTTTGCACCCATCATTCCCAAAAACAAAAGAAGAGCTCCGACCGAATCAATTTTTATCTTCATCCGATAGGCCGAAGTGAATTCATTGGCGTTTCAATGGCGTTCCAATGCGTTGGGCCAAATTTAGAATCCGTAGGCCGAGTTTGGCGTCAAGAAGCAGTGTTAGACTTTTGATAATATCTCAACGATTGGTTTCTCTTTATCAAATCTTACGGTACGTATGGAAAGGTAAATAAGTTTGGAAGCCATCAGTAATAATAACATTCCGTTTGATGCCAAACTGCGCTAGATTAAGAAAGACTAAGTGGGGGTTGTGCTTAATAGGCCGGAAATGGGGTAGTTAACCCTATTTATATTATATAGATCTCCAAGCGCAATCTCACGAACACTAAAATCCAACATCCATACATAAAAATAAAGAAGAAGAAGAAACAAAAAGGTATCGCGATATCACAACTACTTAAAAAGGTAGCGCGCGGTCTCACGCACACTTTTGTGCATCTGGAGAACTCTATTCCTTACATTAGATTTCACGCTTCCTCTTCGCTCTCAGTATGACAGCGGCCTAAACAAATCAAGCGTAACTATTCAAATCGAAGTATCTGCTTCTGTAAACAATCTCTTCAATCGACGATTTCGACAGTGAGCATGCATAAGGGCGTAAAAGCGATGATCGATTCGCTTCATCGATTTTCTCTTTTGTTAATAACTCGCTAGAATTAACGTTTCTCGGTGCGTTTGCTGTTGCTTTTGATAACCAATACAACCTGGTACAACTCTGCATTGAACAAATTCTAGAAAATTGTTTCGTTTAGCTGTAGCAATGCAAAGAGAAAATCGATGAAGAGAATCGATCATCGCGTATACGCCCTCACTGTCGATTTGTCTTAACTGCTAACTCAACCACGCAAACAAACACCATCACCAGGTAGGGCAAACTTTCGCCTACTAGCTGGTGTTGTTAGTTTCCAATCGTCGATTGAATTGATTGTTTACAACATCAGATACGTTGATTTGAATGATTATGCTTGAAATACCTGAAATCCCACAGAACCAGAACGTCAAAATCGAACACATGTTGGATTCAATCTGTGTGGCTGTGTTCCATTTGTTGAATTTTAATTTAATTTTGACAGATAGAAAATTTTCAAATTGTACCAAACTTTATTCTGGCAGACCAGGAATCAACTTTGACAAACACCTCGAAAATCACTCGATCAACAACAGAGAGATTTATGAACATTATAATTTATTTTCGAAATGCAAATTTAAGTAAAAATCGGTAAAAATTCAGAACAATAGAACACAGTCTAAGGCCAACCGGTGAAAACTAACGATTTTAATTTGGCTCACTATTTGACTAGCCTATTGGTCTCAAGTAAATCTGTAAGCGTACTCCATTCTTGTCAAAATTCTAGTACTACACTATGTTTGTTTTGATTTGCTATTGGCGTTGACGGCACCGCCGAAAAATCGTCTCTTTTAGCAATGATTGACAGTTTCTTGAGAATTTGCCGTGGAGTGAAAGGATAGTACGAAGTCCGCCATGTTTCACGTACAGTCTAACGTTTACTTTTGGATTTTACCATTGGAGTAAAGAGCTACAGAGTCGCCATCAACGCCAATGAAAGTTTGACAGATAAAATGAGGGGTTCGTGTATTTCCCTATGTTTCGATGGGTGCATCGATTAGCTTGGGACCAAAGATAGTACCAGAGCTAAGCCAAAAAGTTGAGCACGTTTCTTCGGGACCTTCTGGTCTTAGAGTTACCTCTATGCTAAGGCTGTGTTCCATTCGATGATTCTGCACTGACACTTCGAAAATAAATTATAATGATCGAAAATCCCTCTGTTGTTGATCGTCCGATTTTCGAGAAACCGTTTGTCAACATTGATTCCTGGTTTGTCTGAAATAAGTCTGGTAGAATAGCAGGATTATTTGAAAATTTTCCATCTGTCAAAAGAAAGTTAAATTTCATCAAATGGACCGCAGTCTGAATATTTAATGGGGAGGTTGACAGTTGTAGTATACTCTTAATCCCACCATCGAATGGCATTTGCTAGATAAGATGAGGTTGTGACATAATTAAACAAATAAGCTCTGCCAACAACACTCTTTGAAAACAATTTAATGGATATGTTATTGGAAAAAAAAATGCAAGGATTAAAAAGGAGTACATTTTCGGGCAAAAGGAGGATGTAGAAAAATTATTGAAAAAGGAGAACATCCCTAGTAATAATTATGGTTTTATGAATTTGATCATGATTTTGACTTGTAGAATGCTTAAAGCCTCGATAAAACTTGAAATGTTACTTGGGATGTCCTCCTTTAGGATACCATATGGTAACCCTAGTTTTATCACAGGTCGGCAGGAGCTCACGGTCTCCCAGTGTTGGTGAGTTCTTTGCCGTTAATGTTCACGAAAAGTTCACTGACGTTTGTGAATTGCACAAGCATTAGTGCAGAACTTTGGGTAAATTCAAAGGTTTCCTTGTACTAATACTTATAATTTACCCAAAGTTGTGCAGTAATACTTGTGTATTTCACAAACGTTAGAAAATTCTATGCACTACTGGAGGTGTTCAGAATACTTGAATGAGTGAGTGAGTGTTTCATGAGGCAACTCAAAAGTCTTGTAGAGATTGCTCCTGATGCTGGTTGTGACTAATAATGCGGTCTTATAAGACCAGTCCAGAGGCATTTTACGGCAGGTGTTACGGGAGTACTTTTTTTTTTAACTAGTTGTTAATTTTTCAAGGCTCCATTTCTTTCCCTCTTATCTTTTCTGAAAGCCAGTAATGGCGCTATAACCATAAGCCATAAAAGGCTAGGACAAGAGTTAGTGCTCATGTCCCAACCGGCAGAGGAAAATAGAGCATCACTTAAA